CGGTCATTACCCTCCATGAGAACTGGATACCAGCAGTATTTCAGAAGTCTGATCATCTGTAAGGCTCTGGCAAACTCTGACGCATGTGAGACAGAAGGTCACATGCAATTTGACCAGCTTGCCAATTCCCTATCACCTTCTCATTTATTTACCTGCCTGTTCTCACTCCAGCTGTGGAGATAAGATAGGTTGTGTGGTTACTGATTACTGATCAATCCTCAGTTATGGCTTGTGAAGAATCCACTAAATCCAGTAGTACCATTGTGTACACTGATGTCAGCACATTATGCATGAAAAAATGAATTTGTTACTATGCATCACCACTGCTGGTGAATTTGTGTTTGAATTACCACTTCTTTCACTTGGGGATCTGAATGTCTTTTTTTTTTTTTTTCCCCTGTAAATTTTATTCACTCTGAGGACTCTTTTCTTCCTTTCCTCCTTCTTATCACTTTCCTCAGTCCTCCCTCTATGCAAGGAAGCAGTTCTCTACTTCCAATGATTTTGGACACTCCCCATACAGCATTTCAACCTACTCCTCTCAAAACCATATCCCTCATTTCTATTCACACCTACACATCAAGGAAGGCAACATGAGTATTAGGAAGAATATTCCACACGTGATTATTTACTTATCTTCATTCTGTATCTCACCAGTCAATTGGGTTTTCCTTCATCTGTTTTGATGCCTAAAAGGCACGGGGAGAGGATCAGTTTGAATATATGCCACATAGCTTTAATCTCATCCTTCCTTTGAAATAGTATGAGTCTAATTGAATATACTATGGTCAGCACCAAAGCTACAGGTGCAGTGAGGTTGTGCTTTTCACTAAACAAAGGAATACATGCATAGCCAGTTCACAGTTCATTTATTTGCCTGCTCTGCCTTAACATACCACACACAATAACCTGGTGGCCAGCTATAAACCTCACCTTCCACTGGGGCTTCGGTGATGGAATTAGCTTCTCTAATTTGTGCCAGACAGCAACTGTGCTGGCAGACAAGCTGAACTAAGCTACTTTTCACTGAGTGAACACTAAGTGTGATGTTCACATGGCCTTAACTCCTCCTGAGTTGCATTGCCTGACATTTACCATTGAGTGAGATGCACCATGATAGCAAGAAATAATGGGTATCTGGCCATAGCTGGAATTTAGATGAGTATTAGTACTCTGTAGGTTCATACTTTCATTAGTGAAGATAACCAGTCAAGCCTCTGGATTAAGGATTACTTGACTATGACTTTAAGAGGAATTACAGCATTGAGAGGGATAGGAAAGGAAATTCTAGCAGGTTGCAGAATCTTCAATAGAGAATAAATTTTTGATTTAAGACGTGTCACCTGGTGGAATTCTCCAAGGATGATGTTCAACAGATGAAGGGAAGTGACAAACAAGATTAATTTTGAAATCTGACGTTAATACCAGCTCATGAGAAGGGAATATTGCAAAAACTACAGGCAAAATGACCAAGAGAGAATGGGAGCAGCAGGAGAATATCATGCTGCAGAAGGCATGGCCCAGTGATACCAAGAGGAAATTTCTCCCAGGTAGGCTCACATGGGATTTACAAGAAATCAGTGACCATGAAAGAGATCTAGGAGTAAAGGGCAGCAAATAAAACCTGGTCATGTGATATAGAGTAACAGCAAAATACAGGAGGTCCAGGAGAAATGAAACTGGCAGTGATTTTATAGCTTATGGCTGTGTTCCCTGAAGTTGAATTATATGTGAAACTAGTTTAGTCTTCAGCTATTTACCTGTTTGCTATTTGCACTCACCATCAACTATTTGGTGTTGGGGTTACAGTTCAGATCTCCATCAGTAGCACAATTTATAAGGATTCTCTTTTCCACTTACTTTCACAAAGTTGGTACAAATTTCCTACTTTTGAAAACTCTCCTTTGATGTTCAGTTTGACTGAAATAGGATAAGGAAAGTTACTGCTTGGAATAAAAAGGCCAACCCATACGTGTACATACACACACTACACAAAGAAAGAGAAATCAGAGTTAATAAAAAGATATGGTACTTATTTTTAAAGAAGCCAGAAGAAAATATTTTGCCCTGCTGGCTTCTTTTGGCTTGCTCTCCTTGAAAGTGTAAATGTTTCTCCTTGAAGTGTAAATGTTTCTGTTACATAAATAAGCATCTTGTCTTAAACACTGTCTGTAGAACTTGATAGACTCTCATTTGCATGGAAAGTTCACAGCCAGTTTTCCTCACTGACAATAATGACACAAGTAAAGAAAGTGGGAGAAAAACAGTGCTTGAATCAAGATATCATGGAATCAAAGAATTGTAAGGACTTGAAATGTATTCTAGACATCACGACGTCCAACCCCCTGCCAAAGCACATTCCCTAGAGTAGGATCCACAGGAAAGCATTCAGGCAGATTCTGAATATTTCCAGAGAAGGAGATTCCACAACCTCTCTGGGCAACCTGTTCCAGTGCTCTGTCACTCTCACAGTAAAAGAAGTTCTTACTTGTGTTTGCATGGAATATTCTGTGCCCCAGGTTGTACTCAGTGCCTCCTGTACAATTGCTGTCTGTCACCAAAAAGAGTCTGCTCCCATTGACTTGACTTCCACAACCATAAGTGTTTATAGACATTGATAAGACCCCCCTCAGCTTTCACTTCCCCAGGCTGAACAGTCCCAGGTCTCTCAGCCTGACCTCGTAAGGGAGATGCTCCAGGCCCCTCATCATCTCTGGCCCTCCGCTGGACTCTCTCTAGAATTTCCCTGTCTTTCTTGAACTGAGGAGCCCAGTATTTCAGATGTGGCCTCAGCAGGGCAGAGTTCATTCAGAAATCCAGACTGAGAGACAGATTTTCTTTTTAAATATTCCTTTTTTATAAAAAAAAAAAACAAAAAACCAAACAAACAAAAGAACAACAAAAAAAAAACAAAAAAAAAAACCCCACATCTGTAAGTTTCCTGTACTTTGTACTTTGTTTACAGGGAAAAACGTAGTATAGCTAACTTTAACAGAGCATTGAAAATGACACTTATTAGAATGCCTTTTGTTGTATTTTGAGATTCTGGAGCAAAAGGCATTCTATTTTAAGCACAGAATACTTATGGTCACTGGGTTCACGGCTTGCTTTCCTGACTGACAAGTAAAGCTGCTGTTCTGCTGAAGCAGACAACAGAAAGTAAAAGCATATCCTGAATACTGAGGAAGTTCTGGAAACCTGAACACATCCAACTTTGATTTCCACCTTCTCTTGTTCTATGTTTTGTTATGGAACACTTTTTAAAGTATATTAAAATAAACAAGCTAACCAAAAAACACATGCAAAGTCCCTTTTTGGGTTCAATGATAAATAAATCTACTCAGTCCCTATCTTTTTTATGATAAATAAATAATAATAATTTTTTTAAAAATGGATGCAGTGGTGTTTCACTTACAACTCTTCAAAAAACTGTTTTTCTCCTTTTCCTCTTGGCTTTGAAAAGAGCTTGAGCGATCTCTCTAAATACCAATACCCTTATGCTCCTTGACAACAGTAATGCTCAAGGAATTCAAAGCAGCAGTTTCACCTTTTTTCAAGACCAGTGATTCCAATGTCCTGGGGATCTGGCAGGCATTGAATATAAGTGTTGTGTATGCTTTTGCCCTTCTCTGCTTGGCTGCCATTGAATCTTTACTTTGTTATTGCATTATCACTCCATTTGCTTGTGGTTCCTTTCTTTTCTGCTCCAGCCCTAATCCCCAATCACTGTCACTGTATTTTGGACATAAGGTACACTCATCTGTTTCCTTCACTGCAGGGCAGCTAAGGTAGGTAACCTTTAAATGTCCTTTCTAACTGAAATGATTCTAAGATCATTTTGTGTATGTCAAGCACTCCTGACATTTGCCGTAGAAAAACGTGCTCAAAAACTTACTGGCTTCATCAAGGAAAGGGAACTGGCTTACACTGAGTAACAGGAAACTGCTCCGTATCAAAAGACTTGTGACCGACCAAAAGGCCACAGCCTCTGGCCCCCAATGGATTAATTTGCACTTTGATCGGGGCAATACCAGATACATGTACTCACTGGGAGACGTCCTTAACAGCAGCCCTGAGGAGAACCTGAGGGTCCTGATGGACAAGAAGCGGGACATGAGCCAGAGGCATGTGCTTGCAGCCCAGAAGGCCAACTGTGTTCTGGGCTAAATCAGCAGAGGAATGGCAGCAGGGAGAAGGAGGTGATTGACGCCCTCTGCTCTGCTCTTGTGAAGTACTGTGGTAGTACCATCTGAAGTACTGTGCCCAAGCCTGGAGCCCCCAGCACAAGGAGGACACAGAGCGGTTGGAGCGAGTCCAGAGCAGGGCCATGAGAATGCTCTGAGGGCTGGAGCACCTCTCCTATGAAGATAGGCTGAGAGAGCTGGACTCATTCAGCCTGGAGAAGGCTGCAGAGACCTCATTGTGGCCTTTTCAGCACTTAAAGGTGGCTTGTAAACAGGAGGGAGACCAGCTTTTAATATGGTCTGCTAGTGACAGAACCAGCAGGAACAGTTTTAAACTGAAATAAGGGAGATTCAGGTTAGATGTTAGGCGGAAGATCTGTCAAAAGGGGTGGTGAGGCACTGGCACAAGAGCTGCCCAGAGAAGCTGTGGGTGCTCCATCCCCCTAGGTGCTCAAGGCCAGGTTGGCTGTGGAGCCTGACCTAGGCCAAGGAGGCCAAAGATGTCCTGGGCACACAGGGTTTGGATGCCCCACAGCCACAGGGCCGACACTCCGCAGGCCGGTGAGACCGCTCAGCCCACGGCGCCGTGCCCGCAGGCTCGGGAAATGGCTCCAGGCGGGCAGCACCGCGATCCCGTCTGAGGAGACGGCCGCGCTCCGAGGTGAGAGAAACAACCCAGCGGAGGACGAAAGAACTTAGACAAATCGACGAGGCCCGGCAGGGGCGGCGGTTTCTCCGAGGAGAGGCGGCCGTGGGGCGTCGGCCTCTTCCGCCGCTGCCTCAGCCCCGCCCCGAGCGGCGGTGGCGGCCGCTTGAGCTCTGTGCCTCGCGGCCCGTCTGGAATGGCCGCCCCGTGGGTTCTGCCCGCGCCTCTCAGCCCGGCGCAGCTGAAGCGCCTGGAGCAGCACCGCTACAGCGCGGCCGGACGCTCGCTGCTGGAGCCCTGGCTGCAGCCTTACTGGGGCTGGCTGGTGGAGCGGCTCCCGCTGTGGTTGGCCCCCAACGCCATCACCCTCGGCGGCCTCTTGCTGAACTGCCTCACGGCGCTGCCGCTCATCGCCTCCTGCCCCACCGCCACCGAGCAGGTACCGCCCTGCGGGACGCGGCTTCCCCCGGTCCCCGCCGGCACGGAGTGTCCGGAGAGCCGGGCCTGTGTCCGCGGAGGGTGCAGTGGGTTTGCCCTGAAATTGGGGCGGTGTGCGGGTTGCACCAAGAAGTTTCCCGGGACGGAATTTTTGTGGTAGTTGGAGTGGGGAATATCAAGGGAAAGTCCCTCTGTGTGGAGGGCTTTGTGTCCTAAAGGTTGGCTGTTCTGTTGTTCGGATGGGCCTAAATCTTAATGGCAGAGATGGGGGCTGGCAGTTGGATTTATATATATATATATATATATATATATATATGTATATGTATATATATATATATAACTTGGATATACTTCCATGAGCATTCTTGTTGACAGAAGCATCCTTATTTGTCCCTAATTGCTTTGCCATTCATGCCAGCAGTGGTGCTTGCAGCAGTCAGATCAAGAAACTGATCCAGGTCAGAACTAACTCATCTTGGCCTAACCCTTTTGGCTTCATTGGTACACAGCTGCAGGCGGTGAGGAGAAAGGAGAGAGAGGAGAGTAAAGGGCTGGAAACTGCAGGTTGTCGTCTTCTAGGCCTAGGGTCCCCAGCAGAAGAAAGATATGGAACTGCTCGAGTGAGTCCAGAAGAGAGCCATGAGGATGATCAGAGGACTGGAGCACCTCTCCTATGAAGACAGGCTGAGGAAGTTGGGATTGTTCAGCCTGGAGAAGAGACAGTTGCAGGGAGACCTCACAGTGGCTTTCCAGTACTTGAAGGGAGCTTAGCGGCAGGAGGGGAACCAACTTTTCACATGGTTTAATAGGCATAGGACAAGGGGAAATGGCTTTGAACTAAAAGAAGGGAGACTTTAGGTTAGATGTCAGGAGAAATTTTCCCTCTGAGGGTGGTGAAGCACTGCCATAGATGCCCAGAGAAGCTGAGGTGCTCCATCCTTGGAGGCGCTCAAGGCCAGGTTGGATGGGACCCTGGGAAGCATGAGCTGCTGGGAGGCAGCCCTGCCGATGGCAAGGCATTGGAATTGGTGGGCTTTAAGGTCATTTCCAACCCAAGCCAGTGATTCTATGATTCTAATTGCTGTAGAGCTGCTACCTTCAGCTTACTGTTGTGATGTAGGTATCAGTTCTGTGCCAGCTGCGTGTCATGGTATTCATTCTAGCTTTTCTTTCTTTGCCATGCACATATTTTATCATAAAGCAAGTAAATTTTAAGTTATTTTTTGCTTTGAGGACTCATACTAAAATGTTATGTTGCAGACATTCAAGGAATTATTTCTTCCAGGAAAGCTCAGGTTGAGTTTTAGGAACATTTATGATTGCCACACAGCTTGATTTCTATGAGAACATACAGTCTGGACCAAACTTTCCCATTTAGACATCAGTATATCAATTGTAAGCGTGTAGCATAAAAGCATACTCCTCCTATTGCATTGTTCTTTGAGCAGAGACAAAACTTATGTTGCCTCTGCTCTGTGAGTATGCCCTGGCTTTTGCTCCCCTCACCATCATTATCTTTCTTATGCTTTTCTTCAGCTTTTCTCAACTGAAGATGGTGACTGAATGGCTTTCTAAAAAAAAGCTAAACCTGCTGCAGCACTACCAAGCGTTATATGTACTACTGTAACATCTGCTTTGTGCTTTTAGTGTGCAGGCTGGAAGGACTGGGGGAAGGTGGAACTGAAAGTTGTGTTAAAGATGGGCGTAGCACAAGCAGAACTAGTAGTATGGTGCATGTAAACGTTGCCTCACTGTGCTTGTGAGCCTCTTCCTCCATCCATGAAGAAACCATCCTTAATAGTCCTGTTGAGAACACTGAAGCACACAGCACACAATTAGGTGTTAAGTGGCAAAACCGAGCCCATGGATGGCAGCTCTCTGGTACTTGGTCAGACCCAGGTCCATCTGGCTCAGAGCTCCCTGAGAGCCTCTGGTGGCAGATGCTGAGCGTAGAGTGCTTTGCCCTGGTGTGTGCATCCCAGAGACTGGAGCAGGGAGTTCTTAGTAGGGATTCTACTGAGATACCTTTAGAACAACTGGTGGATCAACTTCCCCTCGATTTTTGCCTTTTAAATTCTTTGTTTGAATGCTTTCAGATTCTATTATGTCTGCTGCAGTGAATTCCACAGTTTAATAATGCTTTCCTTGCCCCACACAATGCAGTTGACGTCTGAAACCATACAACGCTTCCTTGTCCTCTTACTGTGTAGTAGCTATTTCCTTATACACTGTATTTGGCATCTTCATCAGCACCAATAGCTACTAAATGCCAGTTTGCTGCTGACCAGAACAGCATGTTTTAGCTTTATAAATGCTGCCTGCTTGAGCAATGCCTTCCTGTGTAGAAGGAACATGACATGTATCGCCGTCTTCTATAAATGCACCCTTCAGCATAAGCCTCTTTATCTCTGAGTCACAGCAGACCACACCCCACAAGCACTGCAGTAGCTAAAATCGACATGTGTGGATTTTCACAGTGTCTGTCTTATTTCCTTCTGTTTGAAAACAGGACAGCCACCTACAAAAATAAATCACATTACACTGTCTGGGGCAGGGGGACACTGCCTGCACATTTCATGCCCTGTACAGAGTTGATGTATCTTCTTTACTATAATTGAAGACTCTTTTCTTTCTTACTTTCTCTTAGAATCATAAAGTTGTTTGAGTTGGAAGGGACCTTTAAAGGTCATGTTGTCCAACGTTCCTGCAATGAACAGGGATACCCACAACTAGATCGGGTGCTGTGAGCCCCTCCAGCCTGACCTTGAGTGTCTCCAGGGATGGGGCATCTGCCGCCTCTCTTTTTCCTCATGTCCAGTCTAAATCTCCCCTCTTTTAGTTGGCAGTAATTTCCCCTTGTCCTGTCACAGCAGATCCCATTAAGGAGTCTGTCCCCTTCTTTCTTACAGCTCCCTGTTAGAAACTGAAAGGCCGCTCTCAGGTCTCCCTGGAAACCTGAACAGCCCCAGCTCATGCAGACTGTCCTAACAAGGAGATGTTCCATCCCTTGGGTCATTTTTGTTGCCCTCCTCTGGATGTGCTCCAATGGCTCCATGTCTCTCCCGTACTGAGGGCTGCACAGCTGGATGCAGTACTTGAGGTGAGGTCTCACCAGTGCAGAATGGAGGGGCAGGATCACCTCCCTCACCCTTCTGGCCATGCTTCTTTTAATGCAGCCCAGGATATAGTTGGCTTTCTATAGACTACAAGGACACCTTGCTGGCTCATGCCCAGCTTGCCATCCACCAGTACTTCCAAGTCCTTTTCAGCAGGGCTGTGCTCCATTCTTACATCCCCCTACTTGTACTGATAATAAGTGTTGCCACAACCTTGCAATTGGATTTGTTGAACCTCATGAGGTTCTCAGGGGCCCACTGCTTGAGCCTATCTAGGTCTCTGGGATGGCATCTCATCCCTTGGGTGTGTTGACCAATCATAGCTGCTATACTGTAATTCTGGAGGTAATGCTTTCTGGCAGAAGCAGGATCTTCCTTTAACCCACTCTTTGTCTCCTTAGCAGATTTATTCTCCTACGTTCTCTTGAAAGGAAGAACTAAGGATGATAATAATTGCTGACAATCTCCTGGGTTTCTCAGTGTATCACAGCACGGCTGGGTTTCCTAGATATGACAAAAAGTGACTGTGCTATTGAAGTGTGACATCAGTGAAGTGGGTAATCTGACAATAATCATAGAATATTTATTCACTGAAAGCTCTGCTGACCTACAGCGTGGACACAGTGCTAATATTGGAGTGTAGAAAGAGCACACTTTAGATGAGGAGTGCCATTTATCCCCATCATGTAGTAGTGAACAGTTTTTGTTGCTACAAGGAGTACTCCTTGCAAGCCAACTTCTCTGAAGAAGCTGCAGTTACTCCATTAACACAGGGTTTTCATACTAAGAGCAGCCCTTTCTTTGTTTTGAACTTAAGTCTATTTTAAAAGTCCTGTAGTAGCTATAGCAGGATCTAAGCAAAGAATAGCCAAAACTGATTAGAGTGGATTTTATCCACTGGTAAAGATTTGTCCTGCATGCTCTTGGCTTCTTTTGTTCTCACTTGTTTGTGAGAACAAACAAGTTTCTTTCAGGGCATTTCTTCTCATTATCTGTAATTTCCCAGAGGACACTGCAAACAGAGAAGGGCAGCTGTACAAGCTAGTCTGTGTCCCTCAGTGCCACATCCACATGGCTCTGGAACACCTCCAGGGACCGAAATGTTTCCTAATATCCAACCTGAGGGAGCTTATTAGAGAGAGGAGAAGGTTGGAGGAATGCAAGAAGTCCCTGCTGTGCAGAAAGTGCTCTAGGGATGTGTTATGGTTATTCTTTTTTCTGCCCCATTGTAATGCAGATTTAAACAGCCCCCTTCATTCTGCTGCTGTCAGTACAATTGTACTGAAGGCTTCACGCTGAGCACAAGTGAGGGAAATTCTCCAGTTCTGCGGGGGAAAGGGAGGAAGTCCAGTGACCTTTTGTGCATCTCTGCCAGAAAGGGGCACTACAGGCTAGAACTAGTGCTATGGGAATTGAGGGAATTACATTATGATAAAAGTAGTGAGTAATGAGATGTGGGTGAATATTTAAATGTTGCAGTTTTGGGGCTGTTCAACTCAGTGGGTTTGAACTTTGCTTGAAATAAGTGGTAAGGGATCTTCTCAGCATATCCACTCTCCTGCAGCTGTTCCATGGTCAGCCATCACACAGGGACACAAAACAAGGGCTGCTGTTGGACCTGTGTGGCTTCCTGAAGGCAAGGCGTGCCATGCAGTCCTGCCCAATGCTATGTCTGCATTCTCTTGGCATTTTCAAGCCCTGGGTTCAGCACGTGACTTGACCTTTACCAAATCTGCCGTTGATGAGATCCTGTATAATCTTTCAGACTTCTTTTGAATTCAAGCAGAGAAGCCTTTTTTGTTTGTTTGTTTGTTTTTCTCTTCACTGGGGCTTGTATTATATTCTAGCTCTGTTACAGTAACATATGTTCCTAGCCAAATAATGCATTTGCTTGGACAGGATATAACTTTGGGCTGAGATAATAAACACCTCATCAGTGAAAAGCTGATGATTACTGGGAGCCTCCTGACCTTTCAACTGAGTTCCTCAGCCATGTCAGCATTCTCAAATGCTCCCACTTCTCTAATTTGCAAACTGCTTGGGTGCAATGTGGGAAGCGGCTGGGGACTTCCCTGGATGGAGAGCCAGGCATGTGAGGAGGCTGGTGAGGAGATGGCAGCTTTAGTTATAAGGAACTCATCCCTTACAGGTGTTAATGGACACAGATGATCCTCACTGCCAGGAGAACAAAAACTCTTCCCCCCTCTTTGCAGTGGGGTGGAGAGGATGGTTCTAGTTTGGGAGCCTGGGAGGCGCTGTTGCTCTGATTTGTGTCAGCTAGAGCTCTAAGGCAAGCAGAACATGTGTCAGCACTCTTGATGCTGTGCCTGTACTATAGCTTGGAACTAGACAAAAGCCACTGTAGTGCCTAAACACCTAATAGAATGGTCTGACTTCAAGTTACTTTGCTTCTTTGAGGTAAGGTAGACAGAGATGATGTTACCATGAACAAGAATTCTTGTATCTTATATTGTGGAGTTTTAGGGTAGGAGGGAGGAATGTGGCTAGTGTGTTTGAGCACTGGGTACAGCCTGCTTTTCTCCATGATATGAAGAACCCCATGACTTCAGCAAGTTAATTAAGATCAGCCTGTCTCACTTATAGGAAGAATACTGCAAAAGGAGAGGAGCCTAATGGAGCATGGGAAGCATTGCCAGGTGCGACCTGGTTACTGGCCTCAATCCTGAGATTACAGTCATCAGTAGATCTAATACTGTCTTCATGTAACTTGTGTGTGTGTGTGGAGGCACATCATAAAACCCTGCAGACTACCTCAGTGGTATTTCAAAGGAATATTGGTGATAAAATTGGGAATATCTGCACAGTTATTACAGGATAGGAATGAAACTCTGTTTCTCTTAGCTTTCTGCTCATAATGCTTCCTTTATAAATCTCTGCTGGGAGCTGGCTTGTTTGAGACTATCTCATATTCTCCACGAAGCAAAGTGATCCTGAAAAAGCCCCTGTAGCTGCTCCAGTAGCTTTCATCTTTGAATTATATCACAAGTAAAATGATCTTAGCTTCATTGGGATCCTCACTGTGCTTTCACCCCTTGAAACGGCTAACCTGTGGCAAAGAACCCTCTGAGAGGGGCAAGGGCAGGAGTGGGGGCTGCCAGGCATCTACTGCTGCCCAGTGGAGAGTGGCACCGGGTAAGCTTGCACCAGTGAAAGTCTCAAGCTTTTTCCCCTTCCCAACAGCTCTTTCAGACCCAGCCACTGCAGCAATTGGCTCCTCTTGTTGCTGGCAGCTCTGCCTTTCCTCCTTCATTAGAGGAGCAAAAGTTTTTCAAACAGTACTTAAGAATTCAGACTCATTTAGACCTCTTCCACAAAACAAAATAGCTTCTAGTTGAGCTGGGCTGACAAGAGAGAAGAAATCTATGCAACTCAACTAATTCCACTGGTAACTATCAAACATGTACTGCTGTCATCACCACAAAAAAAAAAAAGATGACAGCCTTTGATATAGGAGAAAGTCTCCAGTAAAAAGCTATTGCTGTTTTCAGGCTTCGAACTGAACCTCTTCTAAATACAAGATGTGTTCTATGGTCAGTGTAAAGGCATAACTTTAACTGAAGCCGCGGAGCATGGTGATGAGAAGACCACGTTGGCTGGCTCTCTTCATGGTCATTCTTATTGCTGCCTTCCTCTGTGCCTCCCAAGAAATTGACTGAAATTATCATTTTTGACTTCTCCCCAACAGTAACACTAGATTTATCTGAGCATGGACAAAGCTCACCTTGTTGAGACATTTGATCAATTGTCCAAATCTAATTAATAGCCTTTGCTTTCTGAAATACACATAATCATGTTGGTCTACTTGCACTATAGGAGAGGAGTTGCAGAGGTGTGAAGCCACAGAAGCAACCTCCTATCTGCAGATGGAAAAGAATTAAGCTTCGTGACTGCCTATAGCTGTTTGCTTATTAAAATCTGCAAACTGTGTTTCCACCATTGATACCTGAGTTCGGTGCTCTCATGAACAGCACTTTTGAATATTAAGGGTACCGCTGGGTTTTACTGAAGCAAAATGTAACCTGTACCTCATTCAAGAAGCTTCAGAAGTAATTTTTAGTAAGAAAGAATTCCCTAACGAGGACATACTGACTGTGTATGAAAACAATGCTTCTGAAAGCTACTTTGTGTAGGGCAGCTCCTTCAAACCCAAGAGTGGTGTTAATACATCTGATCCACAGCTTGTTTTGAAACTAAGAGTCAGTGTTAAGTAGAGAGTTGCTCTGTGAAATTTAGTGAGTGGTTAAATTTCTTTAATCCAATTTCCAAAATGCACATATAGCCAGTTTTTCTGTGTTGGAAAAAAAAACCTCTTTCCATAAGAATTGACGTCTCTATTTAGTGATGTGTTTTAGTACCTGTACGTTGTAAATCTGAGCAAATGATCTAAATGTCTAATATTTAAGCTGCTGAGGATGTTCCTAAGTGCCTTCATACTACTTTCTTTTTTAAGATTAGTTTAATTCTTTCAAACTTTTTTTTTCAGCACAAATAGTACAGTATATTGTATACAGAATATAGTAGTTTTGTGCTGCACAGTATTTTACCTTTAATTAAATAGATTATTGGCTGAGAAATTGGGAACCACCTAGTGACCTTTTATGTGAATCTCTTTCAGGCACCTTCTTGGGCATACATCCTGGGTGCATTAGGACTTTTTATCTACCAGTCTCTGGATGCCATTGATGGGAAGCAAGCCAGAAGAACAAACAGTAGCTCTCCTCTAGGAGAGCTCTTTGATCATGGTTGCGACTCAATTTCTACAGGTAGCCTTAACCTACTGTTACGCATCCTAGTTGTAAAAATAAGGTAGCTGTTTTCAAGAGGAGCTGATTAATCACACATTTGTTGAAATTGGAAGGAACCTCTGGAGATTGTCTGGTTCAGGCCCATGCTCAGGGCAGCTTGTTCCCTTCACCATCAACCATTCACTCAGTCACTGCAGCCAGGGCTGCCCTCGACATTTGCATCCCAGATCAGGGAGGGTATTTCAGAAGCACTTTTAGCAGGTGTTGGGTAATACACAGTCTGCACTTGTACATCTTCATGCACTTTGAGCTTAATAATGAACAACATATACAGTAAGAGCATTGCTAGAGATTATATTATGCATAGTTCATGTTTTCCAGTAAGGTACAATTGATAAATAGGATTTACGTGCCTATAAGGCTGATGCTGGAACATGTAGCTAAGGGTTCTGCTTTATGTAAGATGTGCCAGAAAACCCTTTGTGGGCATCCAGCCTGGCAATTAGGAGGAGCGTGGTATATAAATGTTCTTTGGGAGTTTCTAAAAAGTAAGCCTTGCTCAGTTTTACTTTCTGCAACCTAGCTGCTGTTTGTGGCAATGCCTGCGTTTCTATGACAGTTTAAATGGCCTTGAGTTGGGATGTTCTTTACAGCTCAGTTCCCAGCAAAGCACTATCAGTCTTTGAGCATAGCTCTTCTGTTGGAGCTCATGTCTGTGCCATAAGGAAGAGGAAATTATAAGGCCCAAAGACAGAATGACTGCAGTAGGCTAAGGGGTGTGGCCTTGCCCTGGAAGGAAAGGAGTCTTGTGTTTTGGTCTGTCCCACCAGCACTGACCCTGATGTTAGCTACTTAAGTATCAGTCATATTCTAACCTTGTTATAGTGACCTGAAATGCCTTGTGATTTTCTCTTAACTGCAAGCATAGAGGGTATGTGACTAACATGTTCGTTTCTGCTTTTCAGTTTTTGTTGTCCTTGGATCCTGCATAGCAATCCGACTAGGAACAAACCCTGACTGGTTGTTTTTCTGTTGTTTTGTGGGACTGTTCATGTTCTATTCTGCTCACTGGCAGACATATGTATCAGGCACATTAAGGTTTGGAAAGTAAGTAGGTACCTTTTAGAACTGCATATGACAATGTCTGAGGCTGTTAGCTACTTGATTTCCATTTCTTCTTCTTCTCTTTTCCCCACGCTCTCTGTTCCTGTTACCCTCTTCCTAGTCTCCCTTTTGCCCTGGCAGACTTCTGTTTTACTTTAATTTTAAGTTGTGTCATATTGAGTACAAGACTTGTTCTTTTAGTAGTTGATTTTAGCTATCTGTGTTTCATCTGCATGCATTTAGCTCCTATTTGCAGATTTATCCACGCAGACTTGAGTTGTCTTGCCTGCAGTTTAACCAAGCACCGTATATAGGAGTAGGAACAGAGCAAGCATCTCTGATACTTCCCATTATAATTACCCTGCCATCCTGGAACAGATCCAGCACAGGGGACTCTGAATCAGTGCATTTGTAGCAGAATTCCATGGTAATGGATTTCTCTTCTGTGAACACGTTCAGTCTTCCTTTAAACAAACTTTCTGCATCCAGCACATCCCTAAGCAGGGAGTTTCACAGAACTGTGCCAGTGCTTGGAGAATTACCCCAGGTTTATTTGGGGTTTTTGCTGGCTCATACTGACTTTGATGTCCTTGAGGTTTTGTGTTAAATCACAGTTCTACTTGAATTCTGTCATGTTGTTCATGACTTTGTAGACATTGAGTCTGTTCTCACTAAACTGTGGGAGGAGGGGTCATTGACAATCATGTAAAAGATAACAGTTTTGATTTACCTCCCAAAAGTGTGGAGAATGCTGTGCCCTCCTGCAGCTCTGATGGTGCCTAGCATGGTGTTTTACTGTCTTTAAGCAATGAGCTGCACTTTGACAATGATTTATGAGAAGTGACCTCCTCAGCAGCTACATCTGAAATATGTGAGAGGTGAAGGCTGTCCTTCTGACAATCCTCGCCTGCTTAGAGTACTAGTGAGCTCTGTCTTGCAAGAAGCACTTTAGCAAATCAGAGCACCAATGGGCATGCAGGCTAATGATCAGCTATTTGCATGCTGTTTGGTATCTATCTGAAAGGCAGGCTGTCTCTGCAGTAATGCTAAGAGCTCTTCTTATTTGCTGGCCATACAAACCATAACTCTTACACCTGCTTACCCATCCTGCTTTTCTCCAGAGGACATTCTGTGGTGTAGACAGAAAGGGATGCTTTAGAATGATAGGTGAAAGGATAATTCTTGTAAGTGATAGTGGACTATGTCCAGTGATGGACATGAACTATGCCATAAGCTCAGGGCTTTTGTAACAAGGATTGCTTTTCTGTGCCTTCTGTTGCATAAGATGTGAGAATGATTTCTCCATATCAAGAAGGCATTGAAGCTCTTTTCTCTCTTAAGAATGAGTAGTTGTGAGAGTCTAAATAAAGGTAGTATACTCTACTATATACTCTACTACTCTAACTATGATAACACATTATACGGATGAAAGCTTTAGCTGATGCTGTTCCTGAATTAATGGCATTTGATTTTGGAAGTGGAATTACTGATGAGTCTCAGCACTGATGGCCAGGAAGAAGAAGAATCAGCACAGCTGGGTATTATACCACTGCCAGGCTGTACAGATAGAATACTCCAGGGCTCAATAAAATCTTTGGCCTTCAATTTGAGCTGCACTGCAGGCAACTGTCTGAGTCTCTGTAAAATTAAGTACAAAACTTAGGCACATATAATGACTCAGCTTGGAGTCCTGTCACTTTACTAAACAGGTAGAAAATACAAACTTGCACAAGACTTGCAAGCTGAATTGGTTCATCTTACAGTCGGAACAGTGCCCACAACTAGGAGAAGTGAGGGAGCACAGTGACAGAGGAGGGAGAAAAGAGTGCCCCTTCTTACTTACAGCTTTTGGCAATGACAAGCATCTCAGCACATCATCTAGTTGTACATAAAACATTGGCTCTTATAAGAGTCTGAAGATTGCAATGGAACTTGGCATATTTTGTGTCACTATCTTACATTAAAAAGTTTGAAGTTATTGTGAATATCAAGATCAGATAAGTGTTTTCCATTAGCCAGGAGCTGGTTCCCATCCCCTTTTAAAAAAACACCACTTCCTGTGCAAACAGTTTGTGTGCTAAGCAGGGAATGATGCATCTTGATTTTGGTCAGTACTTTAAAGTAGCACGTCTGTTCTAACTACTTATGGAAATATATTTTAAACATCTATTGTTACTGCTTGCTAGTAACTTTAGTACTCTGGGGTTTTTTTTTAATACATACTTATATATAAATGTACGTATATATATATACTTACATACTGAGCTCTCTCAAAATATTTCAGAAATTAGAGACAGTAAGATAGATTGGCTGCCATGTCTGAAAACAATAACAGTGGAATTCAGAGTCTCAACTATAGAAGGGATTGAAGACCACCTGTTTTATAAAATGTTTTATGGAAAAAAGCAACATGTCAGTGATGAGTGTCTTCTGCTAACCATGACTCAGTCATCAAAATACCGCCCTTATGATCTTTGGGCTGTATCTGTCAAGTTTTCATGATACAACAACTTAAAGAAATCCCATCTGTCCCATTCTGCTCTTCGTGGTGCCTACTTCTGTATGATACTTTCAGTGTGTTTTCTATGAACTTAATATTTAACATGGTTACTCGCATAAGAAGTCTGTAGATTTTTCAAAATTCTAAAATAGTTAACAGTGTATTCATTAAACATTGTTTCCCTGTGAAAATTGCATTCAGCTTGCTCTAGGTTAAGCACATAGTTCCATTTTAAATGTGTGCCTCCAAACAGTATTTTTCTTAGATAAGGAAAATCACATTCTATATGTACTTCGTGCCTTAAGGGGTAATCTGAAATAACTCAGTTTTACTTTGCTCTCCCTGCCCCCCATCTCCCTACACTTAAAGCAAACAGAACCTTACTGAATCACTAACATTTACTTTTTTCCCCCTAGAGTTGATGTAACTGAAGTTCAGATAGCCATAACGGTGTTGCTGTTGGTATCTGCATTTTGTGGAACAGCAATATGGGACTATAAGGTAAGTGTATAAAGTACATCATTTCCTATGGTAATTGAAGCTATGCAGTTCAACTAGAATCAACCCCTGCCAGTTGTCTGATGTTCTGCCTGGGCTTCCTGTACAACTATGGGTTATATTTACGTTGTAGGTAACTTAGATGTAATGGTGTGACTCGCTGTGCACAAATTTAGAGCTGTGTAGAGGAAAAAAAGACTCCATCTGCCGTGTATGCAAACTACTGATCTGTCACTAATACTCTGCTCATAGTGAAGCTTTAACACATATTTTGTTACTTCTATGTATTTTACTGCAAGACTGGCATTTTTATTCTAATTCTGTTCTAATCTAACAAATCTACGTTACTGCAGAAAATCCAGATTTATGTGTCAGTTGAGATGTACTGATTTTTAATGGTTATGTCAGAGCTGACTTTAAACATACATCCTATATTTATAGAATTGTTTTCTGTCCAAAAGCGTTTGTTTGCCTATCTCTGCCTTTCACTCCATCTTTAAATATTGACTTTAGCATGCAACAAAAGTGCATTAGACCAGTAATTCAAATTAGTTTACCAGTTTACTCAGCAGTTAGAAACTATTTAGCTGAGGTTTGTTTCCTGCAAGGCGCTTTTGCTCTATTTTTACACAGAGTTATTTTCACATTGGAAAACAACTTTAAATATTAATGAATTACAGTTGCTTTTTTTTTTCAACATTAAAATCTGTGACAGTTATGCTGTATCTCAAAGCAATCTATGTTAAAAAATATAGCCAGTGGTTTCAATTTATTGCTACTTCTTTTTTCTTAAATCCTCTGCTGCCTTTGGAAGTTTCCTTGAAACTGCAATTGATTCTGAAAGGTAACTGTTTAACAAAAATTTTCATCCAGAGACGATTTTAAGTGCAAAGATACAGCATATAAACGAGTATTACAACACAAAGCAGGCAGATGGCGTTTGTGTTTCCTGTGGTTTGGTATTGCAGTACCCACTGAGAGGGAAGGAACTGTCCTTCCTGCCCCTCCCATGTCCTGGTGGAGCAAGCCTGTGGCAAGCTTTTGCTTATACAATAAAAAAAAGCACCTGAAGAGTATTATAAGCACATGCAGTAAAATCTAGTTCAGTGTAAAGGCCAGAAGTTGTTTGAATTTGACTTTATTCCTAAAAGAAATGTGATGCCTTCTTAATAAGGAAATAAACTCCAAGCATTGTCCTCCTGAGCTTATTTTCAGCAAGACAGTCATGCAAGTAAAGCAGTTCCTTAATAAGGGTCAGTAGTGTGGTGGTTTTTGTTTTTTTTAATCACCTCCTGGGGTGGGGGGGCAAAAATAAAGCTGGTATCTGTGACCTTCAATATCTTTCTCTTGCTTTTCCTGCTAAGGTGCATTTGATAGGCCTAGAACTGAAGTTCTTTGCAGTTGTTGGCATACTGTGTGGAACAGCAGTTTCATGTTTCAATTACTTCCGCGTCATCGTTGGTGGAGGGGTTGGAAAGAATGGATCTACAATAGCAGTAAGTTGTTTTAACGTTCCAAATAGGGTTTGAATAATTTACATTCGTAATTTATTAGACTCCAGATAATCAAAAGAGTTTTGTCTCTTTAAGCAGAAAAGCATATGAATTTCACACATTAGAAATACTTATTTGTTAATCTGAGTATGTTGGATGGTCAAAGCAAAGACTTATTTAGCTGTCTTCTCTGTACCTGTTACTGGATTCCTTCTGTCACAGGAAGCAGCAGTGAATTTTCTTTCAAAGTTGATCAAAGGTTATCATAAAGGATATTAATAGCAGTAGCACAGTGCGAATGGACTTTCCCTAAGCTTTGACAGCTCTAATTGCTTTCATTCAGTGGGTGTTGTTATATATATATATTATTATACTATATTACTATATATTGTATATATTAATATATTGGTTTTTATATTCTTATTATTGTATTATATTAATATATTATTGTTATATTTCATATATTAATATATTGATTTTATATTATATTATTATTGTATTATATTAATATATATTTTTATTATATATAAAATGTTGGTCTTGCTGTGCGATTGAAGCCAAAGAAGAGTTTTCTCTCCCTTTGTATTTCAGGGAACAAGTGTTCTTTCACCAGGTGTCCACATTGGGCTACTTGTCACACTGGCCATTGTGATCTACAAAAAATCTACAATTCAGCTGTTTGAGAAACATCCGTGCCTGTATGTCCTGACATTTGGATTTGTGAATGCTAAAATCTCACAGAAGTTAGTGGTAAGGAATCTTCTCTCAGCCCTAAACATCAACCAGTTGTTGGCTTAACAGATGCATTCTGAAGCAGTAAGCACAGTGCAAGTTTTCCAGATTTGCTTTGCTACCACATTATGTTATGACCTACACACTGACACAGGCTTAGTCTCCTATAGAAATTAAATATGATACTGATGGGGGGACAGGGGGGGGGGGCTTGCTAGCTTACAAGTTACTAGCCTTGCTGATTGCTCAAGTACATATGGATAGATGTAACTAAAAAGAGCACAGAAGGTCATGTGTTATTTTTCCTATGTAATAGTAAAAAAAAAAAAAACCACCAGGACTTGATTCAAATAGCTGATATCACTGATTGAAGTGCTGTATAGTGATTGAGCAACCTGCAGACAGGTTACTTAGCCCTTGACAAAGAAACTGTGAGAGAGCAGCAGGCTCTTGACCTGCCTGCTGATTGCTTTCCAGAGGGCCCTTCAAAGAGGCTGGTGAAAGGTAAGGACACTGTGCTTTCTCTTGAAGTGGAGGCTTTGTGGTAGTTACAGTGATCTCACAGTAGTGCCTTTTGTGGTCGTTTTTTTTTTTTAAATAGGTGGCTCACATGACAAAAAGTGAAATCAGTCTTCAAGACACTGCATTTATTGGACCAGGACTTCTCTTTTTGGACCAGTACTTCAACAGTGTCATTGATGAATATGTTGTTCTATGGATAGCTCTGGTAAGCATTCTGCTTTATACTTTTGATGTGGCATATATAAAGGAATGGACTGAGAACTGTCTCCATCATTCCATTCTGCCATTTCAGATTTACTCAATTTCACCTGTCATTGTGGAAAGAGTGCCAGGATACTGCATAACCGTATGCTTTGGGAGCTAATTGGCTTTCTTTCCTCAGAAAAGAGATCTGAAAGTAAAATTATGGATCTCTTTTTTGTAATTCTGCTTTAATTCAGGTGGTTTGTTTAATGTTACTCTAACTACAAACTGTGCAGTGCATATCAAACTTCATAAAATTTGATATATTCTGATTAAAGCTGAATTTATAGCAGAGACAATTTTGTGAAATACATTCTTAACCTGTTCTGTTTTGTTCTTTTTAAGTTCATATCCTTGTTTGATATGCTGAGATATGCCACTGGTGTATGCCTACAGATTGCTGCTCATCTTCATATACATGTCTTCCGAATTTCATCTCATCAAGCTCCTGAACAGGTTCAGAACCATACTGACTGATTAAATAGGTCAAGGAGAAAATAAACAGTTAGCAGAATGCTGAATGAAGCAGCCTCTCTGGGAAAACAGATTAAGCTTTTCAGTAAACTAGTTTCATGAGAAAACAGCTCATGCTATCCCAGAAATTACCAGATGCTAGAGTTATTAAATACAAAGTCATGCAGATTCTGTTTCAGTGTTTTAGACATTGGAGCTGTTACTTCATACCATAACTGTCACATTTGAAACTTTTGTTGTCTCCTGTTAAGTACTCTTAATTATGTACTTCTGGTCTGTAAGCTTCTTCTGGACTGTAAGCTGCAAACCAAGGTGCTACAAAACAGAATTATTTTTTCCTAAAGCAAGTGACTGATTTTCTAACATTAGTTTCTGAAGTATTCTACTGTGAAATGGCAGTCAGAGGTGGATACAGTACTGCATTGTCAAGACTGGTAAAAATGAGGGATCCTTGGGGTAAAACTAGTAATCTGCTTTGAAAGTTCTAAAGAACAAGATAGTGCACCAGTAAGATGAAGGAAATAGAGGAAAATTTTCTTGTTCCCTATTTCAAGATACTGTTGGCAGTGCCTTTAGGATTCATGCATTCTCTAGTATCTAGCTTATTGTTACTAAACACACTTGTAGCTTAGAGGTTGTTTTCTAATGGCAGTTTCTGCTTTTGTGATTATAATAAGGTTTGCCTCATTGTACCCATTATCTAGGCTGTGGGCAGCTAGGTACTGGAGGACTGTAGCTTCACCTACCCTAATTTTTATCTGTGAAACTGTGTAAGTTGAATTACTAAGTTCCTTGAACTTTAATGTCTGTTAGACTGTGACAGTGCAACACACCCGAATATGACAATGCAACCTACCTGCGTGTAACTAATTCCCTCTGAACTGTGTTTGCCATTGTTTGTATTAACTTCTGTTGTAATCTAATTTATTTTGTTACTGTCACCATACTTTATCCAAACAAAACCATAAGGAACTAAAACCTATGTATAGTAAAATTCTACAAAATAGAAGGTCAGTCCTAATATCAGCCTTTTTTCTTTTCATTAGTGAAAAAATAAAGTAGCTTACTGTCTGTACTAGCAAATTACAACTTGCACACAAAACCTAAATGCTCAAGCTCCTTTAAAGAGGTAATACATCAATATTATTTTTGTGAGAAGCTGCTGAATGTACACATTGTCACTTTTACTTGCTGCCATGTAGCTGAGGTTTAAAGTTCATAAAGATGTTACTGAATTGTACAATAAAAAGTGCTATTATTTGTTGCAAAAATATTACACTGCAGCTTCATAGCTGCTGAGTTCAGAAAGCCTGCCTGAGATATAGGACAGAAAATACTGTGCAACATGTTCCCAAGACCTCAAAAATGTAGTACAGTACTAGGTATAAATAGTTGTAAAGTTACAGTAGAGGTAAGGAAATGGTAGAAAACAAGTGCAGAAGTCATTGGAAAGCCAGAAACAAGAGGTAATGGCAACAAGTAACCCAGTATAGAAGAGTGGAAGCAAAACCTGTTAACTGTATAGCATAGCATCATCTAATTATCCTTAAAGGGCAGAGACTGAACACCACAGCTAAAATTAGCATTGCTAGTTATCTGATACTCACCATGGACCCATACTACCTCATGCATCATCCTAGCAATGTAATTTCTGTGTTTGCTCTGTCCCTGAGTGCCATCTGACACAACACAAGACAGCTCCATACAGGCTACTTGCTCAATTTCAGTTGCAACCCACAAGCTGAATTTTCTGTAAATTAGCTATCACTGATCTGTCTCCTGGCACTGATGAGCAGTCATCAGATATGTTGGTTCTGAACTAAAAATCCTAGTAAGCTGCAGATAAGAAGTTGTACGGTTTGGTTTTGAAATACATTGTTTTAAAGTAATCAGATCTGCTTGTGTGGGTGGTTTTTGTGTTATCTACTATTATATGAAACCTGACAACACGTATTTTAGGAACTACCTAATTTGTAAAAGTGGATGTTCAAGTGTAATGACTTTCTGTAAAAACAAACTACAATGCAAGCTAGGCTGGCTGTTTTAATTTATAATCACTGACTGTAATGAGATGCATAAATGAAAAACGCTTCATTCTTAAAACAGACCTCCCTGAACTGCTAATCATTTGAAACTGCAAAAATTAATATTCCATTTCAAGTAAGTGAGCTAGATTACCTCAGCAGAAGTGTGCAAAAATATATAACCCAAAACGCATGCAGTAATATTCAGTTATGCTTACTAGAGCAGATGTCCTGTCAAGCTGTGGTACTACGCTCATTGTTCAATTAAAGAAATCTGCTTTTTGGACAAGTTACAGCAGTCGATACATCTCTTATTGGTAAAAAGAAATCACAGTGGCCTGAACAAAAGGCCTCGTGTTTCATTTACCATAACATACATCATTAAACCACCTTTCATAACCCATGAACTTTAACTACTGACAGGCCTGTAGGCTATATGTTGAAACTGTGAAAGTCTTGAAGCTGTGGCTTTTGTAAAAGGCTTCTATTTGCAGTGTACCCAGATTAGTTAAGTTTCTATACAAAACTTCAATTTTTTTCCCATTCATTTTACCTATTGTTTCAATTGAGCGTTATAAAAAGTGAAACAATCGAACAGTCCACTGCTAAAGAAAGTGAACAATAATTGGGCAGACCATAATTGGTTAGGGGTTTGTTCCCCTTAGAAACAGATTTACTAATATACCCTCTTACAACATTATCAGACACAAGATTAGAACAATCCATTAAAGTATTTAATAGGAGCTTTAAAACACTTAAATCTTAAGATAAAGTTCTTTATGGCTAACGCCTATACTTGTATCGTGTTACTTAGGTACAAGTTGTTTCTCCATTGAGCCGTCAGAATAACATGGACTGAAGAGACTTGCGAACGGTTGCCATCTCCTGCTGTTGCTGTTACAAGAAAAGGAGATTATTCTGAACAGATGCCATACCAATATGACTCCTTAATCTAATTAAATGATGTCTAACGACTCCCTTATAGAATGTTCTATTTTTGTATTTAACAAAGTTCTTTATAACTACTGATACTTACAGTGTCCATCATGATCTTCTTCTGTAGCATAGCCATTTCTTTGCGAAGTTCATTCTGTGCACCAGCTAGAAGAGTTTCATTGTTTTTCTCTAGCTCTTCCATGCTCTGAAGTTAAAGATAATCTTAATTCAGAATGCTCACTATCAGAAGTTCAATTTAAAAACAGACAATCCATTATTCAGATTACAGTTCGATTTTTATAGCAGTAGTGGTCACTGACAGTTGCAGATGAATTTTGTCATGAACTTGAAAAAGAAAATTGTATAGGACTCCAATCTACACCGCTGCTTAAACAACACATACCCTGTGACAAAAACAGTCCTTTCCACTCAGCATCTACCAGGTGTAAGCTACTATCCTGCATTTCAATAAAGATGACAATTCTACAAGTCTAGATGTATCTGTCAGGAAGTATGGGGTGGTACAGTTGAATATCGTGACAACCTTGGAGACCTGAAGCAACAACTACAGAAAATGTTACGTTCCCTCCTCTTTGCACATTTCACTCTAAATAAACTGAGGTAAGGCTCACTGGTTATCTTCCCTTTTGCTCATATAGTTTGCCTAACTGAATGCACATTGCTGCATTTTCTTTGACTTGTACTTAAAGTTAAGCATATTTGAGGCTTGACTTTTACCTTTTGATCTTCTCTGAGAAGAAAAAACTGCAATTTTTTTTTTTTAAAACTTTGCTGAAGATGTTTAGACCTTTTAAAATGGTTATTGTTTATGAACATCTCTGTAACGTCCTATAATGTAAATTTCAACTATCAAAGTGTTCCTCTGTTTCGAATTTATTTGTCAAAGCTGCCTGACTTGAAAAAACATACCATAACAAGCAAATTTCAAAACAGGACAGTTAGGAAAGGAAGACAACTGGGAATGTTCAGCCTGCAGAAGAGGAGCTCTAAGGGAGCAGCAGTAGCTAGAAAGGTTCATGACCAAAAAAAACCTGACTCAAATTCTCATGGAGAATGCACGTGCCAGCAGTATTAGAAGTAGTCAATTACAGCATAAAATGTTAATTTTATGACTGACTTTCACTTATGGCTGACTTTCACTTTTTCAACACGTACAAAAAACCTGAGGGACAGCTGAGACAGAAAACCTGATAATTTGACTGTCTATATAAAGTTTTGGGTTAGAAAGCATGCTCTGAGGGTTAAATATTTGAAACAGGAAAGCCCATCAGACCCCTGCAAGAACACACTTTATAAAGCATTCATATACAGGCACCGTATGTGTGTGTATTTGGAAAGAACAACTCATTTTTAAATAAAGAAAGAGAACTAACTAACATGAAGACTCATGCTAAGCTGTTGTCCCTCCTTAAGCAAACATTAAATTTCTGTATTACAGAAAGGATGGATTACTACAGCTTTCCTAATGATGTGATAAGGATCAGCTGTCTTCTAAAATGAAAACTTACTGTACCTTTAAGAATTGCTCATATAGTTGCTTAATAGTTTTCAGTCTCTGACTTTGAACTATTCTTGCCTGTTGAAAAACTTTTTGTTGCTGACGAAACATATTCTGAAGCAGAAGCAAAAAGAAAACAAAAAAATGCTTTTAGTTGACCCAAAGTACTCTGACATCAGCACTGGTTATCATTTATCAGAATGAAAAGATTCTACCTTCATTAACAATCTGGCTCAGAATTGAGACACCTGCATGGAGAGTTATCCTTGTTTTTATTAATAAAAGGACTAAAGATTGGATTAAGCCCTGAGCTGTCACCTACAGGCCTTTCCAAAGGGAAGTCTGTGACATCCTATGAGAACAGCTGGCCAACACAGTATCTGAGAGTATTCCAGGGAGATGTGCTGAACATGCAAATGTTGTGGGGGTACAAATTCACCAATAGCATGTGATTGTATTCCACTGTCTCCTTTCATCATGAAGTTCTCATAGATTTATTGCGTGGAGACATATTTTTAAGCAATGCTTGCTTAGATACACTTTCCTGTACTCCTTTGTTCTTCCCATGCAAAGTCTGCGCATGCTCAGAATCAGCACATCAGTTTCTTCTCTGAAATCACCTCAGCTTTTCTCAGTCCATACATTGGCCTAGGGCTTCTTTTATTCCCATTCATAAACTTGCAATAAAGTACTTCACTTTTCTTCACTTTGAAATATGTTCTCAAATTTAAACAGTTATTGAACCACCAAAGGTGAATGAAATTCTGAAGAGTTATGTGTTTGTCTGAACTATGTACAGTATTTTCACATCTTTACATGTTTGGGTGACCTGGTTATATCAGTACTCCATATAATGACATCAAAGAATCATAGAATCTCTCAGGTTCGAAAAGACCTTAAAGATCATCAACTCCAACCACAACCTAACCATACTACCCTAACAACCCTCCACTAAATCATGTCCCTGAGCACCACATCCGAACAGTTTTTAAACACATCCGGCTTTTAAACTCAACCACCTCCCTGTGGAGTGTATTCCAATGTTTAACAACCATTTCTGTATGGAAGTGTTTCCTGATATCCAATCTAAACTTACCCTGGCACAACTTGAGGCCATTTCCCTTTGTCCTGTCACCAGTGAGAAGAGACCAACCCTGTTCTTGTTGTAAGCACCTTTCATGTATTGGAAGAGAGCAATAAGGTCTCCCTTCAGCCTCCTTTTCCACAGACTAAACAATCCCAGTTTCTTCAGCCCCCCCTCATAGGGCATATTCTCCAAGCCCTTCACAAGCCTTGTGAAGCCTCACGTGTCAGGCTGTTGGGTGTAGAGGCACAGTGCACTGTACAGTTGCATTTCCTGGTCTCATGCCCTCTAGCAGTCTCACTTGAGTTCTGATTCTCCAAGAGGAAGATATGCTACACTTTGCAAGGGCCTCCACATGATCTGCAATTCTGGGTGATAGAGATGACATGGCTTCCTGGTTCGGGCACGGTCATAGCCTTCCTTTCTCTCCCATTTGAGAGATTAATTGTAACTCTCCTTATCATCACCTTACATTCCTTTACCATTTGTAGTAAATACGTTCTCTCTCCTTATCTTAATTGGGTCATTTTTCTTTCCTTCTCCCCAAAAGGGGTGCCCGTCCTGTTGCACTTGAAAATGTGACACTGGGGGGTTTCCCTGTGAATAATACACTGTGAAACACATCCCATGTTGGAAACGCACCGCTAGTTTTTCTTCCTGTTCCTCTGCTTTCTGCACATCTACATCCCACTGCTGAAACACAGTCAGGAACTGCTGGGAGAACTCATGATTGAGCTTGTGCCTACAAGCAGATGTTGGCTGTAAGTACTACAAACACTCCGAAGGATGACAAGGAAAGATAAAGGTTCTACATGCACAGAATAGGAGCTAGTGTGAATTAAAAAAAAAAAAAAAAAAAAAAAGGACTATTTTGAATCTGTCCCTAACTGAACATCATGCTTTAGAAAAATAAAAAAGGAACACTCACACATAAGTACTTACATACATATAGTGACACAGCACTGATAGATGAAACAGATTAAAAACAAACAAATCAAACAACAAAATTTTTCTCAGCAGAATTGTCTCAGCATTTTACAGAATCACTGTTTTAACCAAATTACAGATTTTGGCATCGACAAGTTTATAATGAAAAGAAAATCAGCCCATTCTTTAGTTCATGATGCTGTAGTCTCTCTATGTAAACAACAATTGGTTAATACAAGTTTCAAATATATAAAACCAAAAAGACAGCTGCAAGTCCTGCAGTTTTTCCATCTCATTTTTTACAATTTGCTCTGCTTATAGTATCAGACATCACAGGTCTCAAAACCAAGGGTAAATGTTACCTCTGCTCCTGCTGTGTCTTCCAAACATGTTCAATCTTCTGGTTACTGGTTTTGAGTGAGGCTTTTGTATACATTTCTAATCTTTTCCTCTTGGCTAAGAGAGCTTTGTTAATGTCAGCTAGAATCAAAGAGTAGTTAGAAGTTAAGCATACCTTAAGCATACCTAGAAGTTAAGCATACTTGGACACCAGAGCATTTTATTAAAGATGCTGATGAATTTATGCTTTGGAAAAGCAAGCAAGGCGCGTTCTAACAGAAAGAAGCTCACATGATCTGGGCTCATGTCTGCTAAATTAGGAATCTTCTCCACCTGCTGCTGGCACAGGTATGAGAGCTGCTTCTTTATTCCCCCCACAGAGCCTACCTTACACCAGGCATCTGGAGCAGCAACTGGACATCACCCCTTCTCCTCATTTATTTCACTACACAATTAGCTTAACACTTCCAGGCCTCCCACTAATTCAGCTAGGCCAATGCTTCTTAGATTTTTCTCAAGAAAGAACACTGGCTCAAATGTTTGAAGAGTAATATCCGAGCAAATTGCCTAGATTTCAGAAATAAGAGGTTGTGTGGGATTACTGCCACTGTCAACATATTGAATGAATGAATGTCAAACTACTACTTATACATCAGAAAGACTCCAGTATTTTTAAAGAAGTATTCAGGTTAATGTAAGTTAATATGTTCATTTCATTTTAATTTACATTTGGAGATCTAAGGAACAAGTCACAGGTAGCTTAAGGTTGGTGTTTAAAGCAATTGCTTTTCCTTCCTACTGTAGCCTTCGGAAAACATCTCTCTAATTTGCTGAGGCATCTGCCCCTGCTACTGCCAACCCTATTACTTTTAATCAGAGAGCATCCTCTCTTTGATTCATTTATTTTCCTTCCATCTTTTGAGTCCTAACTAAAAAGCAATCCCAGCTTTTTAATATTAAACACTGAAATCCCTCTCTTGTCTATACTGTTAGATCCAAAATAGCATACTAACACGTATCTTAACTGAAAAAAAATATCTTAATTCCTTAATTAAAGAATTCTTCAAACTCTTTCACTTTGAAATTTGCATGCAAACAACAACTGTAGTTACTTTTCATCTCATACATGAAACTATCAACCAGATACTGAGTAATGCCAGCATTACAATGTTCTCCCTTTCTGATGCTTTTTTAGACAATTTGTATGAATGAATTCATTGCGAGTGCAATGAACTTTTTCTCTAAGCTGCCAGTTGTCTGGAATTCAGTTCATCATTCTGAATGTTAAGTAAAGCCATCTAGGATTTCACTTGATTATGACTTAATTAAATCAACATAGGCAACACAAACAAATCCCTCCACACTACATGGCCAATATTAAATACCCTCATTCTTTGGCTGTGCTAGAAACTTCTTACTCTCCTTTCTGACTGCCGAAATTCTCATTTCTACAGATTCCCAGATTCTCTAGACTTCTGCAGATGCAGTGCAGACTGCTACCTTTCTAGCTCCATTTTATCACAGCTACAATTTACAGTCATTCCTTATCTTGAATTTGAGTTACTTTTTCTATTTAGCTGCTTCATGTTTAAATGCCCTTCATTTCCTCACTCCAGTCTTGCAATCACCACTCTTACAACAAAAAATTGAATAAGGGCAATGGATTTTTAATTCACATTGTACATTCTCTGTGATATAATCACTGCCTCTCAACCACTCCTTAAAGTGGGAATTGATCATCAAAAGTACTCATGCATCTTTGCCTTCTTCCTTGAGTCCACACAATACTTTTCTCTCCTTATATACAGTTATGCCCTTCTCTTCTATCCATCTGCTCCAGACATATCACATATTAGTTCTCATCTGCAAACTGGCTGTAGGCAGTGCTACAAACACCAGCCATTTTATTCAAATCTCATAAGTTATCTTGCAGAAATGAATTATTGCCAATTCTGTAACTTAAACATTACTTTGCAATTTGTTAGAACATGAGTGTACTTACCTCCAAATCTTTCCAGCATATTCTGTACTTCACCCCTAAAAAATAGTTTATGATTTTTGAGCATTTCTGGACTTTTGATTAAGACCTGATGTAAATGCCTTAAACTAATTTTATCGCAAGCCTGTTACTTGTAAGCAGTGATAGAGTTGTTACTGCTTCACAAGATATAAATAAGACTTACTCCTCCTTCCCCTCCTGCAAAAAAATCTTTTAGAATTAGTTTCTTGATGAAAAGGTTACTACAATCTATCAGCTTCTCAATAAAGAGGCATTGGAGGCATTCAAGGCCAGGCTGGATGTGGCTCTGGGCAGCCTGGTCTGGTGGTTGGCGACCCTGCACATAGCAGGGGGGTTGAAACTAGGTGATCATTGTGGTCCTTTTCAATCCAGGCCATTTTACGATTCTTTGATTCTATGATTAGGCATTTAAAGGGTCCTGAGGGAAAGAGAGTGGTAAATAAAGCTAATCATTCCCCCATCCCCAAAGAAAAAGGTATGCAGAGCATCAAAGAACAAAGAACAATTTCATTAAAGTTAATGTAACTGAAATAAAAAAAACAAAAACACAACATAACCATCCAAGATAAATGATTGCAGGGTTGTTTTTATAGCACTTAAGATGGTATCAGCAGTGTGTAAAGCACTGGTATGACAGCTGACAAAACAGTTACTGTGTTTATGTATTTATGTCTCACTTTTTCCACAGGATACCACTGTTTTTTGGGGAGGAAGAAAAAAAAAATTCAACTCAACGGCCTTAATCTCAAGAAGAGCTTCTGCAACACATACTTTTGCATTGTAGTTATTTAGCCAATACATTTTCACTTTCATTCCATTTATCAAAAATATTTTTCATGTATTTTTTAGATCATTTTAAATACTGTTAATATCTTCAAGCAATTGAGATCAGAGGGGGAAAATATAATTAAGAATTTTTTTTAAAAAATTCACCATTAAAAAAATTTAAGGACTTAATTTTTTTTTTTTTTTTTTAAGAAGCATATTCTAAACCTTACCCCATATCATCTGGAACCACATGAGTAGTCACCATAGGTCTTTTCTTGCCATGCTTGTCCATTACCGGTGTTTCACCTTAATGTAAATTTCAAAAAGATTTACAAAAAATACTTTATATTTTGTGGGGCCTTTTGAATTCCTGGAAGTGTAATTACTTTTCACTAAGATCACTTCTTTGAACATCTATCCCATCCCTTACACATCCAGCTCCTAACACTTGATTGCAAAGAACTGACAGACAGCGATGGACCCCACATGCCTGGATTTGAGCTGGCACTGCCCTGAGTTCCTCAGTGCTGGTCTCCACTAATTGGAGTTCCTCAGTCTACAGCTACACAATTACCTTCAGCTTCACAATGTAACAATTATCAGAAAGCTAAAATTGATCTTAAAAATCAGGGAAAAAAAGAGACTTACAAGCATTTCATTTTACCCTAACTACTGAAACTGTGTACTCTGACTTTTAAGGAAGCAAAACCACAGAGAGATATATTCACATTCTCTCAAAATAGATTAATAAATCCTTGGCTGTTAGATTTCTGTTACCAAAGGTGGGGGAAAAGATCAAGAAAGATTATAACTAATTCAAGACAAAAACAGAATTGTGAAAGAATACCTAGAAATATGGATTGTTTTCAAACAGTGAGCATTAGTGCACACAGCCATACAAGCTATCCTGAAAACAAGACATCTATAAATGTTGTAAGGTTGTTCAGCTATTCTTAGAGAAATTACGTTGGCAAACTAAACAAAAACTGAAAAAGATTCTTCCCAATTCCATACCTACTTCCCAATTTTGCAAACCCCCTCATTCAGGAGGTTGTAGAAATTTACATTCCGATCCACACACCAGCTAATACAAACTGGGTGGCCACTAATATTTGAAGCTTAGGACAGACTTGTCCAGATATTTCACAGAAAGTAGCACAGCAAACTTCACAGGGAACACTCAAGATGCTAGTTTCATTATTTGCGCTTACATTTCACTGTCTTATAGAAATGAAGAAAAGGATTTAGTTTAG